CCAGCCTCTATGGATTAACCAAACTTCTTCATCTATCTAAACTCCACCACCAGTTTCAGGCCCGGGGGAAATATCCTTATTCTCATACATCAGTTTATCTGCATTAAAGTATAAATCAGCGTTTATGTTTCCTGCCGAGGCCTGAGCGCCAAAGTTCAACTATTGTATCAATAAAACTCTAACTAATTGCATCTTTCTCTCTCTCTCTGTGTTTTTCAGATTGAAATATTTGCATATCAATTCATAGAGCTCTTTCATAACATGTACCTCATACTTCCAAGTAAAAGGCACGTTTCTGGCTAACTAGTGTATTTAAATTTTTTTTTATATTTTCTGGGTAATTAACAGTCCAATTAGGCTGGTTAATGTGTCAAATTTATGCCTTCAGGTCAAATTTAATCAAAGTTTTTCTCCCAACATGCTGCTGCAGGTATTTTCCTGTGAACATTGTGATACTCACTGGTAAAGTTGTGCTTACTTGGCAAAGAATGCAATTCAATTTAACCACATTATTATATTTCTAAGCCGTGTTTGATGGAAAATGTTTCTCCTCTGTCTTCTAAGGTCGCTACTTCACTTGTTTTTCTTTCTTCTTTCAGATAAATTAGCTTTTGTCCTCTTTGATAGCCTGTTTCCCATTAACTGATCTTCTTTTGTGTTTATATTACAGTTTAAGCTTGTCAAAAAAAAAAAACAGGTTTCTTCTTAATTAAAGTTTACAGTAACCCCAGTAACTTGGCACTGTAAGACAGTAATTACTGTATAATTGCAACTCAATTAGTTTCAAGGTACAGCTAATATTTAGCAACTTACACATGGAGACTACTGTTTCATGTGTGTAGAAACAAGATTACCGCCTGGGTGTGAGTAAAATCAGCCCCTCAGGTGACAGGTAGGGAGTTTCCACAAGTCTTCAGCTACCTGACTGGCACTTCCGAGATGGCAACAGCCCCACTCCGTGAAACCAGTTAAACTGTATAAAACCAGCTGGACTTAAAATAAAACTAGAACAAATAGCTGCTGGTGACTTCGTGTTCCAGAAGGGAATATTTAGAAACACGGGTTTATAAGCTATGCTTCCAGTAAAATGCTGCAGATATGAAAATGAAATTTGTTTTGGTTGCCGAGGCTTTGAACATGACGTGTTCTAAAGAAAGCAGCAACTAAATGTTGTGTGAAGACTAATGAGTCAGTGGCAGGTTTTACTGGTGACATTTTTTTATGTTTTCAGTGCAAAAATGTTGTTATTAAAGGTTAAATTATTAATTGCTTTTGAAAATTAGTGTTAAAATGATTTTTTTTGCCTTTTAAGCTTTTGACAGGAAGGCCTTTAGACTTCCTTTATCAATAGGAACAGAGTTTTATCTGTTTCCAGTAGAAACTGAAAAACTCAAAATTTCCACAAAAAAAGCAGAAAGGAAGTTCGGATGACTTTTAGTGAAGCACTCAGAGATATAATAAATAGACCAGTGGGTTTAAACATGAGGGAATGAAGAGGACTTTATGCCTTATTAAAGAGTGTCTTATTTTAGAAGTATGTGTTGCTTTGGACACTCTACTTCTCTACAAATGCTCATTTATTAAGATTAAGGGTGTGGAATTCATTGTTCGGAGGCTTCTGCACAAGGTTTGCTTTGAAGTCACCTTTTCTAAATATATTTTTTATATAAAAGGATTAACTGATCAGCTGGGAATAACAGAGCCTCAATTAGAGCTGAAGATATGTTTTTATACGCCACTGATAAATGAGGAAGTTATGTCCCCCTGAAGGCAGCTGCACCTCGGGGCTTCCCCACCGGTTCTTTTCCTGGGAGCAAGTTATTCACTACTCTTAACTCAAACTGGGTAAAACCATTTAAAAAGGACTATAAAACAGGAATGAAAAAGTAGCAGTTTATTCCAGGTCGTTACAGGACAGAGAAAATGCGTGGAGCTGCACAGCTGTGGGCTCAAAAATCACGTCCGCGAGCGTCCGGCAAAGATTGAGCCCAGAACAAGGTCATCTATACCTCACGAGTCTATGTGTTGCATCATGTGGATGTTTAGCTGTCTATATCAGAAACTGACACGCCATCCATGCCCTGACCTTTATGCATCTTGCCTCTATACTCTGTATCTTTAAAAGACAAGATGGCTGTCCTATTTAGATGACCTCCGTACACACAGTGACATCCACAATGTGAAGCAAGGTCTTCTACTCTCTCTGATCTGACCCTAACTATGGAAGCCACCTATACAGACTTTTCAAGTGTTTTTGGAAGTAAGTCTTGTATTCTAACTAGTCCGTGAGGCAGATAACCTGTCTACTTTTAAGGCTAGGCTGAAAAAGTTTCTTTTTGATAAAGCTTCTAGTTAGAGTGGCTCAGGTTATCCTGATCTATCTCTATAGTTCTGCTGCTATAGGCTTAGACTGCTGGAGGACATAGGGACCCCTTTTTCATCATTCTGCTTCATTCTATCTCTATTCTCCCACTCTGCAGAATCTGTTAGTTCAATCTCTAACGTTCTGCTCTCTCTGCTTTTTCTCATAGTAGCTTCATCTGGTCTGTTCCTGTTTGGCTGTGACTCCATCCTGGAGAGAAATATCAGCTGTGCTGCTGCCATCAACACCTTTGTTTCTAGATGTTGGAGCTTGGCCTGTTTTCCAGTGTAGTCCTGTTTCTCTGACTGTGACTAACTGGATGTGCTCTCTTCATCCTCTGACATGGGAGCTGGCTCGGAGCTCGTCTGCCTGGCTGTGTGTTTCCTGGACGGGGCCGCCTGTGGAGCTGGTTGACAGTTGCCTTTTGTATCTATGCTTCTTTTTCTATGTCTGCTTCTGTCTCCTTGAACCCCAGTGGGCCTCAGCAGATGGCCGCTCACACTGAGCCTGGTTCTGCTGGAGGTTTCTTCCTGTTCAAAGGGAGTTTTTCCTCTCCACTGTCGCTACAAGCATGCTTAGTGTGAGGGATTGCTGAAGAGTCAATGAGTCGATGCAATCAGCTGGTTTTCCTTAGATAGAAAACTTTGAATCAATCTGACTGGATGATCTGGTGAACTGGAAAGTGACCTGAGATGACACACGTTGCAATCAACACAGAGGTTAAAACAATACGATCTGTTAATTTTATTTGTTTCCATTATGATGATGATGTCTGTTTACGGTGGAGGAGAATTTTCCAGCATTGATGAGTCAATGGAACAACGGAGGGGTCTTGCAGCATTACAGTGAAACACAGTTAACAATACAAGAAAGGACTTGAATCACAGTAAGAACGTCTCGACTCCATCAGGACTTTAGTAAACGGAGGTAAAGGTTTGAGTTGAAAGGATTTCTGTCCAGAGAAGTGGGACAGAATCTCCCTCAGGTGTTTGCAATGACAGCAATATCATTTATTTAGCTTTTTTTGTAATGTAATATGCAGGGTTACTAAAGTCCTGTCCTGGGTAGCTACTATCCTGCAACTTTTAGATGCATCCCATCGCCTACACAGATGGATGTATCATGTAATTTTCTCGTGAGCAGTAATTTAGCTCTGCAATGTGTTGGAGAAAGGATACTTTACCTCCCGGGGTGTAGTGTGTCCTGACTTTGTAGGTGTTAGAGAAGAGGGTACTAGGCAGCAGCCTACATATGGATTCAAGTGCTATTTAAAGCCGGGCGTACACTGTACCATTTTTTTGACTTTTTTGGGCTGATTTTCCAGTCGTGCGAGAATTTTTCTATCGGGCCGACTTTCACCCTGATTAAGCGTCATGTAGTGTACAGGGGGCAGACATGGGCAATGTGGAGTCAACAAGTCATCTCCATGTCATGTATTTAATCTACCCAGCCAATTAACCAGGTGAGTCCAATCTGCACAGGTTAATTCACGGTGAAGATTGGACTCACCTGCTTCAGTGGCAGGGTAGAACCAATACATGACATGGAGATGACTTGTTGACTCCACATTGCCCATGTCTGACAGGGGGTAACGAGGGGCGATCTGCCTCTAACGACCACCTCCCAATCAGGAATCGTAAGGTCAAGAAAATCACAGAAGCATGGTGGGGGTGTGAGTGAAATGGAGTTCTTTCTGTAAAATTGTCCAAATACGTCGTCGCCTTTTTCTTTTTAGGGCTTTCAGCACAAAAAAATTGCATAAATTGCCAAGGCAACTTGCTTCATGTTCCTCTTCTACTCGTTTAGCTTCCGATTAGACAAGTCCGAGTAGCGCCATCTCACTGGTTTTTAGACGTACAGTGTGAGCAGGTAGATCGCATCAGAGCGTCGGATCGCACAGCGTGAGAACAAACATGGTGAGCTGTGAACTTTTAACCCCTCGTCGTACAGTTTGAGCTGTAGCTGCGTGCAACAGTGGAAAAAATCGTACAGCGTACGCGCGGGAAGGGAAGCATCTTTAACATAAATAAAAGCACATGGACTAATGCAGAACTTTGTTAGGCATCCTCTGATTCAATCAGCTCAAATTGGTAGAGCAGCTAAATCTAAACCTCTCTATGAAGAACTAAGAGGCTACAGTATATACAGACTCCTTAAAGTGGAGAAAGTGCTATCTCCTTCCATAAATCCATCTGTACCTTTTCACAGCATGCTAACAGGCTAACAGTCCTCCAGTAACAACAGCAATAATGAAAATCTGACTCAAAATAAAAAGGTTCCTAAAGATAAAAAAAATGGTTTTACATTACAGGTTAGTATCTCATTTTAAATACAGCTTATTCAGAACACTACTTCATTTAATACACACACGATAACAGATCTAAGAAACATTCATTAAAAAGGAAACAGGACATTTGAAAAGTAGACGCGTTACGTCCCTGACCCCAGCAGCAGCGGCTCCCAGAGCCACACATCGACGCAGCAGCAACGTTTACCGCCTCATTTCTCCAGAATCAGGAAAACGTTGCTCAAAATATTCCAGTTTTATCTGAAACTTTCAGGCTCTAAGACGTTCTGATGAGAGCCGAGTCTTTCTGTGGAGCACATCCAGCACCTCGCATAAATCCTGAATCAGTAAAACTCAGATTACACAACAGACAAACATTAGCTTAGACTAAAAATAACCAACCTGATGCCGGTTATATTAAATAAAATAGCTGGTTCAATGATGAAGAAGGTACAGAGAAGCAGAAAGTAAAAAAGCATTAAAACTATTGACTTGATGGCTTATTTTGATATGGAAAATAACTTAAAACTAATTTACAGACAATAGAAAAGGGACAGGATGGAGAGAACTGTTCGTTTCTGAACAGAAACTTTAGCTTATGTGCTTTCAATCCAACAAAAGGGAAAACCGACTTCCTCTGCAGGTAAAAGGCAACATATATAAATAAATTAAGACGCAAATAGAGGATGTTCTTGAAGAAGCGCTGCAGGATAGCAGTCATGTCTGAGGAGATGAAAGGATGAATGACGGGAGAGTTCAGAGCTTGAATTTACCAGCTGGGTGAGCTTTGCTGTGGAAAGTCTTACAGTCCCGTTTGGAGCGTATCTAAAGCGGGTAGCTGTAGGAGAAACGTACGTGGAGCCCATTTACCGGGTGCACAATCGGGACTGTCTGCATTTTGGGAAACTTCTCCGAAGCCAGGGTCCATTTGCACGTCTCGATCAACTCCACGGCCAGAGTCTTGAGAATGATCTGTGCCAGCTCCTTCCCGACGCAGCTGCGCACGCCGCCGCCAAAAGGCACGTAGCTGAACCGAGACGAGCGGCTCTCGTCCCGCTCAGGGCTGAACCGCTCAGGGTCGAACTGCTCCGGGTTCTGAAAGACCGGGGCGGTCTCATGGGTGTCCCGGATGCTGTACATCACACTCCAACCCTTAGGGATCTGATAGCCCTGTGTTAGAAAGCAGAATCCATGGTTACAACCAAGGCTGGAAAAAATTCAACAAACTGCTTCATCCTTCAGAAGTTTGAGACCATAACAAACTAAGGATCTGGATCCTTCCCTCCATTCAGGACGTATGCTGGTTAAGATTCTCAATCATCCAGGTAAAGTCATTCCAAAACAATCCTCTGGACGTTGTTTCCAAGTTTGACGACGTTTCTCTTCCATCCAGGAAGCTTTTTCAACTCAAAATGTCAGAAATAGCGTTTAGTTCCAGGTTTTATCCAGCAGCCCAACAAAGCCTGGTTTTAGTTTAGAAAACATACAAATCGAAACGAACGAATGGGTGGGTTTTCAAGGGGTCCATTTCAATTAGCATGTTTTCTAAAGAAAAACAAGGGCTTTGTTGGGCTACTGTACATAGCCTCGAACGTAATGCTATTTCTGACATTTTGAATTTAAAAATCTTCCAGGATGGGAAAAGAAACGTCTTCAAACTTGGAAAAAAAGTCCAGTGGAGGAACTCATTAGTTTTACTGACCAACAGCAATGGGATCCACATCAGTACTATGCATACAATACATCTTAGTAAAGACATATGAGAACATTAAAACTTTTTTCCCACCAAATTGCTTCCCGGAAGGAGAAAAGCCAGAAAAAGTTTTTAATCTGTATTAAAAATGGAGCTGAGCTGAGCTTTGGTTTATTTTCAGTCTCTCACAAATGCTGCAAACAAAAAAACCCAACAATATATTGAGCTCCTTCCAATAAAAGTTTAGTTTTTTATGGCTTCCTCATGTTCATCCGTCTGAATATATCTTAGCACTGAGGAATAAACCTTTATTATTCACTAAGGTAATCCAGAGCCCAACCAGAGCCACGCCTGCAGACCTAAGATTTCTTTATGAAGCTCTCGGGGAGACCGCTGAGTTCAACAGCACATCTACTTTAAGCCGTGGGGCTTCTGACAAAGGTGCATACATGACAATTGTCCTTTTGGAAAGTGGGGGCAGAAAATTGGGGTCATGTTGAGGTCAAGGAGAAGGTATATATGGACTAAGGGGGACTCTGCTGGGGTGGTTTTATGCTAAGCTAATCCTGCATGAAAAACTCTCAGCAGGTGGAACAACAAAAGGCAGGATTCTACCCAGAGCAGAGATTTCTAGAATGGCTCGTCTTAGCAAGAAATAAAGAGCATTTATGGATTTGGAGGAAATTAAACTATATCAGCTTTACACTAGAGTATAATAGTTATAAATAAGAACGATTATACTTTCTTTTTATTTCTATGATTATATTCTAGTAGATTTCCCCAGATGTTAGCATTGTACTGGTGCTGCATTAAATCAGAAATGTGAGTTAATTTATCATTTCCCTTTTTTGGAAAACAAAAACGGATTAAAAAAGGCAGAGGTGTGTCCTAAAGGTTAGAGCTCCTAACCATCCTGGAGCATTCTGAGCTGCTCCCCAAAGGTAAGTGATAAAATGCAGAAAACACATTTTGTTTGAATATAAACTTTGCCATGAAAAAAATAAAAGTTATCATTTACAATCAAGTTGCCTGGGAGATGATGGGCCCTTCTGTGGGAATTTCTTTATTTTCTAAAGTCCCTTTAACTAGAAATGAATGCAGAATTGTGCAGAAAGAACAAAGAACAGGATGAGAGAGAAGCAATGGTTTGATAGCCTCGTGAGACCATCCTGATCTCGCCAGCTTTCAAGGTTTCACTCACAGATCAGTCTGGAGACTCTCCGTTAAAGAAAATTTGGAGCCGTTCACCAAACGAACGTCCAATCAGCGTTGGCTTTGAGGCGGGTTGAGGTGTGACGCAACGAGAAGCGCGACAGTTCAGTCTAAAGAACATGGCGGCTTCAGCCGATGAAACTAGCGTTAGCGTGGCTATCGAGCAAGTTTTATGGGAATTACAGAGTATTTCTTCACTGAAAGAAGAGCAAAACACTGCTCTGGAGGCTTTTCTCAGAGGAAAAGATGTTGTTGCTCTTCTCCCGACTGGTTTCGGCAAGAGTTTGATCTATCAATCGGCTCCTCTTCGTCGTCGCTCTGTTAGTACGTCATATGCTTCGTTGATCTGATTGGTTTATTTGGCCCGTCTATCACCAACATAGGCCAATCATCTAACCAGTATTTTCACCCCTTCCCAAAATTACTTCAACGGAAGGTTTCCAGATGGATATGTGGAGCAAATCCATCTGGCGGAGTCAGGTTAATGGTTTGATGGATCTTGGGAAAATGACGGGGTTACATCGTAGGAATATAAATGTAACCAGAAACCAATCCTAGAACATTGTTCCAGGATTGGGTCCTCTATCAATAGAGCCAATTAGAAATGTTCTCAACTGTGACATAAAGGTTCCTTCCAGATCTAAACTTTTGCTCAGAGGGAGATTAGAACATAAGGCTGGGACTAGATCTTTGCAAGTAAAAAATTCCTCGTACTTTTAGATGTTTCCTCTAAACAGCAAATAGATCATCAATACTTCCTCAGACTTTACAAAGGTCTTAAAGTCGTAGGGAAGCGGCTGTTCCAACCGTCGCATTTCCGAATTCTCCCGAGTGGTGCCCGACTTTACACGAGTGAATAAAGTGAATGTGATTGGCCGTTTATCAAGGGGGTGGGATTGTTGTGGCGGAAGGTTCGCAAGCAAGTTTGGTTGTAGCCGGTTTGTGGGAAGCATCTTGCTAACCAGTTAGCAACTTAGTGCTAGCAGGTTCCCAATGGGAAATGACATTGGGACCAAGTAGCACTAATCAAGATGCTAAAAAAAAAAATTGATTGACAGATTACCGTTGATATATGATTGGCTGAATTTAGGTGTTCAGGCTCACTAACTAACTGAACATGCATAAGATGACGGACAATATCGTCTGATAATAGTTACGTTTATATACATGTTTAAGCCAGAATGATTTTACATTTACATAAGATTTCCCTATGACTTTAAGAACAAATCACTGTTTTTGGGTAAAGCAGATGATCGACAGAGGATACTGTTTTTTAGGCTATTTGCGTCGGATCTTTATGGTAAATGGCCCTGAAAGGATTTGAGTTTATGAGTTGTTCTGAAAGAGAAGCAGACAGATTGTCTCAGACTTACATCTAGTTCGAAGGTCTTCAGGGCTGTGCGGTATCCCCCGGAGACCGGCGGCAGGTAGCGGAGAACCTCTTTCACCACACAGTCAAGATAGCGGAGCTTGCTCAGCTTTTCCAGGCTCAGGTAGGGAACACAAGGGCGGGAAGAACCACTGTCCGACTGGCCGTTGGCCTTCAGCAAGCAGGTCATCTCCGTCTCTGCAGGCTCCTGGTCCTTTTCCACTGTGACAGTGGGGGGGTTTTGGTAAGGCTGACACCTGAGACCCTCAGCCTCCAGCTCGGCTCGGGCCTTCTCCACCACCGCCGGGTGGCGAAGGAGCTGCAGAACCAGCGACGTGGAGGCGCTGGCTGTGGTGGAGTGGGCAGCAAAGATCAGCTCGACGGCTGTTTCCTGCAACATGAATGTTAGATTTAAGGCTTACATCTTCTGACTTCACTCTATCGGAGCTGCTGCTTGGCATACTTTGGATGACAACCAGACCTAGGAAACACTGACACGGATCTATTGGATGAGGTTCCACAAACGAGGAGCCCGCTGAGCAACGTCTACAAACGAGAAGCCCAAACATCTACATTTGGTTGAAAGGCGAAAAGCCATTTTTTTTAGATCGCTTAAAAGACGTTGAAAACTTGGTTTTACAACATTTTTTCAACATCTAAGCTAGAAAATACCAGACCGACCAAACAGCCCAATTTTCCACAACTATTTCTGGATCAAGACTATGACGGACTGACCAGATTTAGCCTAAAGACCAACCTACATGACGTCTGGTGTTTATAGGGAGGTTACTTTGGCCGTTTCTCAATTCACAAGAACTCCAGTACGGCCTTGTGTCCTCGCAAAGTATGTTCTTGACTAGAACACAGGAAAGTCTGGACTTTGGGGAGAACGGGAGCACGCAGCATAGATCGGGGTCAATTAGAAGCTAGCCAGCGGTCCTTCACAGGGCTGCTGCAGACGGGCTAACGTTAGCCCTGTCTGCCATTAGCCTCGGAGGTCCGCTGGTTGCTGCGGTTCTCTCAACTTCGTAAAAAAATTTTTAAATTACGCATTAAATCTGTAAATGGGCCATATAGTGAGGCTTAAAGTATAATGTTCTCGACTCAAATGATCTTAAAAAGTACTTTTATTGAACAACAGCAACAGAAAAGAGAACTTTTAACTTAACACTCTGAGCTCTGTGAGCGCTAACCTGCTAACTGCTGCTGCCGCAGTGCATGCTGGGACAGCTGTCCATCTCAAGAATGGACAAGTCTGCTCTGATGCATCCTGGGTAAAGAGGGAGGGGCGAGAACAACATCCGGGGACTTTGTCCGTTCTCGATCTTCGCGTGAATTGGAACAGTACTAGGGCTGAGGCTGATGCCATTTCATGAATACTTGAGAACTCACAAGTACACATATTAAGAAACGGCCTTTGTTTACAGGTAGTCCACTAAATCAGTAACCCTAAATCACCTTCCAACCACTTTGCTTCCTACTTACCCTCCCTTTCCACTCTCTTCTTCCCTTTTTTCAATCAAACTATTGCTTTTCATCTCATTAGTTTAATTTTTCTTCAATCCATTTATCAATCCGTCAAAGGTTGACCATCCTACCCTTAAGACCCTTCAACATGTTTAAACCAGTGGACCTCGCCTCCATTAAAAATGGTAGAAACTATCTTTCCTCAGTGATACAGAAGAACAGATTGACATGTTTATCTTGTGTTTCATGTACCTTGAGCTCCTGGATGTTGAGCTCCTGGCCTTGCTCCTTGGCACCAGCCAGCATGAGGTCAAAGGCATCTTGATAGTCGTCATCTACCTGCTGCCGCTGCATCTTCTCCTCGATAATTTTCTCCATGTTGGCGTGGAGGATTTCTCTGGCCTTTACACCCTACGAAGAGAAGATCATCGAAGTCAGCTGAGTTTCATTAAATGTAAATGGGCAGAAACTCTGCAGGTAGAGCTATCGTCCTGTACCTTTCGCAGGCCACTGAAAGGCGTGTCGATGGGGAGCGAGAACAAGTTGTTCATGAGCTGCTCAAAGATCTTGGCCAGGTAAACGATGCGCTCCTCCTCCATCTGCAGGCCTAGCAGGACCCGGACGGCGATGCGGAATGTCAGGGACTTGGCAGCGCTGTAGACGTCGATGGAGCTGGGCTCGGAGCACCATTTGGAGATTTCGGTCTTGATCACGTCCTGCACCCGTGGCAGGTAGGATTCCAGAGCTGCCCGGCTGAACACCTTGGCCAGGATCTTGAAACAGAGAGGGGGGATAGAGAAGGAGATGGAGTGGGTGGATTAAATCAGAATGCATGAAGAAGAAGCAGGCTTGACTCGGTTAACCCTGCATAGACAGAACCACATGCATCCCCTCACCTTCCTCTTCCTCCTGTGTAAATCTCCCACAGAGTTGACCAGGGTGTTGGGCCCCAGGATTATGCGAGTGCTCTGGGGCCACTGGGTGCAGACCAGGTTGTGCTCCCCGAGCAGGATCTTGCGAATATTTTCTGCGCCCGTCACTCTGATAAGAGGCTTCCCGAGGAGGTGGGTCTTAAACACATTTCCGTGACGTTCCCGACGTGAGATGTGGAAGTTAGAGCCCTGTATCGGAAACAAGGAAGTTTGAGGCCAAGGAAGATTTAACAAAACTTAGTCAAACCCGTTTGAGTCAAAAACAGTTCTTAAAGCAATATATCTATAATCTACTAATGGGGCGTTTGTTTTCTACATGTTAAGAAACAGGGGCGGATTTGGGAAATTTCGGGCCCTAAGCAAAGACAGGCAGGGGGCCCTCTAAATAGAGAAGACAACACATAGAACAGTCCCATTCTCCAGATGTAGAAATGTTAATAGAATACACATCCATTATCTGTTCTAGGTTGTGTCCCTCTCTTCTTGTCCCTTTTCTTCTTGTTTTCCTCTCTATGTTTTGTACTCAGCTGACTTTTCATGCTGTCTCTAAAGGAATGAAAGATTTTTTCCAAGCACTAAGCTCACTTAGCTGATTGCTCCTTCCTGTGTTTCCAAAAAGGCCAAAGTAAATAACCCAGTCCTTCTTTTCACTGTAGACAAGCCATGATCTGCTTATCTGTTCTCCATTTTTCATTTGGATGAAATAATAGCTGCATGAATCATGACAGCAGACAAGATAGAGGAGAGCAGGAGGCGGGGTTACCAATCTACTCGCTCTGGAGAGCAGAGTTCGCTGCTTTTAGATGTTGTCTCCAAAGTCTCCAGTAGCAGAAAAAAGTCTCTAGATTTGGCGCTAGGAGCTTTTTAGAAATCAAAGTGCTAGAGGGGTCTGAAAAGTGGCTAAATATAGCGACTAAAGCGCTAAGTTGGCAACACTGCTCTTTGCATGGTTTGTTTTCAAATGGTTTGCTGCTGTCTGTTTGGACCTTTCTGAACATGTGCAGCAAATGGACTGATCCAATATGGTGGACACTGAAGGGGGGGGGGGGCTGAGACACACTGAATATTATCAGCGTTCTGATGGCATTTTAGCCAAAGGATTTTGATCAAAAACATAATTAATGAGACCCCCCCCCCTTTTCTAAGAAGTGTAGAAAACAAACTCTTTTAAATCCAAACAGCTTTTGCTGGGTCTGCAGACCCACAGCATCACAGGTCCTCCACCAAGCCAACAGAGGAGCATCTATTGTTTCCATGCAGACCCAGACAGAAAGAGGAAGGTCTCATCCCATCTGGCTAAAGCATAATGTCCCAGTACTGTTCCACCACTTCAACCAATTTGGAACAACATATACATATATTTTTTTTTAATCCATCTGGTTGTCGGCAATCGTTTTTAAAGTGTTTACAACTAACAATTCAGAAACGCTAGTGACAAAAGTTCAAAGCCCACAGCTCTGGAACTGTTATACTTAGAGGTCTGATATGTTCTGCAGTGGTGGTTGACATGATGTAGAACAAATGTAATAGAATGAGCTATCCCTATTCTCAAGCGTGTTCTCTATTACTGCTGTTCAAAAAAAATTTAAATCTAAATAGTATTTATTTCTTAACTGCATTTTTTTATTGATGACGTAAGTGAGACACTTTGCCAAGGGAATGAGATGATTTAAATTAAAAATTAGAGAAAAAAAACAACTGGATTGTCTTATAACAAGTGCATTTTGTGCATTTCATGTAATTACCTTATTCTAAGAGTAAAACTACTCATTAAATTGGCAAACTATCTTATTTACATGCTCAAATTAAGCGTAAATATATTTAATTTAAGACATTTTTTACTTATTTCTAGATTGTTTTTTACAGTGTGTTATTTTCAGAAAGTAGAAGGTCTTAGCCTTCAGTTCCTTAACAGTTCCTCGGTTATTTGCTTTTCCATTTGGGTATGCAAAATAGGCAGGATTACTTTAAATTAGGCGGGTGTTAAGAGGTTAAACATTATCATTACCCCCCCCCACACACACACACACACACACAAACACACACACGTATGCACATAAATAATAAAACAATTATAAACTACATAAAGGACATCTTGTATCAAAAACTCAGATCAGGCAGTTTTATTTTATTTTTTTGTTTTCTTCTATTTTTTGTATCTCACTGGGACTTATAATCTAATTTACAAGATAGATCTGTAACATGGACTCCAGACATAAAATTAAATAAAACAGGAAGATAATAATAAAACATTTTCTCATATAATTTAAAGGGGATTTTAAAGGCTTCATGTTTTCCATTTTCTTTAAAATGTGCTTAAACTAACTAAAATTAATCAAATTCTACAATTTAACTTGTTGCTTCTGTAATTGAGAGATAATTTCGCATAAGAGGGAATAAATTAACCAAACAATTTAAAGGGTTCAAGACATGAGAAGAAATGAGAGATGCTGCACAACATCTGGGATTTCTGATCTCAGGCTGGATGGCTTTAAAATTAATGAAAAATATGATTTTAAAATGAGTCTGAGTTTATGTGAGGGAAAGGAAAATGCTGCCCAGAGAAGTCAAGTCTGCACATGTTGCATTAACTGCAGAAGTGAACCTGAACTAGAAGCTGCAGGACCGCCTGGAAGCTTCCAGATTCATAACAATAAAATAAAAAACATTTCTGATGTTATTGATGATTTACATGGAGGGTAAAGGTGTTTCCTGACCTGGAAGAGCCAGTGGAAGGTCTCCCCGACCAGCGGCCAGCCCATGGAGCCCCTCGGCAGCGGCAGGCTGCTCTCCTTGTCCCGGGTCAGGCTCCAGCGGAGGCTCCACAGCTGCCGGGTCAGAACCAGCAGCAGGAGCGCAGACAGCAGCGAGGTGAGCGCGGTGGCCAGAGCCGACAGCACCCCGAACTGGACCAGAGGAAACATCTCCAACTCAGCATCCACCTGCGAGCGAGCGCGCGCTTAGGGGCCGGTGCGTCACACGGCGGGATTCACTGTCCCCAAAATTAGACTAAAAATGGAACAAATTAGGATTTAATCAATGTATTATATTAATAAAGAAAAAAAGTGAAATAAGACAGAAAATTCCTCTAAACTCTGTTTGAACTCTGCTGCGCAGGAGACACAACAAGCTGCGCACATTCCTCTCTACAGCAACGTTTCCTGATTCATTCAGCCAAACTGAGAGGAAAATCAGGTCACTTAAGATTTATTTTTTTAAACCAGAGCAGAATATTCTCATTAAAATAAAGTTTGTCTCCTGCGGGTCTAATTATAGAGGAAGGTTCCTGCTCTTTCAGAGGAGAGGATCTGCGCCCACCTGCGCGGTGCGCCTCCTCTGCGGGGGGAACCAGGAGCTGTCAGCTATTCCAAACACTTTTACAGGTCTGCCTGCGCCGGCTTGTCCATAATGCTGTGCGCCTTTATAGGTACAGTTTGGGGGCTCAGCCGCCCCCACCCCCCCAGGCAGACCGGGTTTTATAAAAAAGTGATTTAAAAGCTGCTCCAAAAATGTTTGTTTGAATTAGGATTAAATTATTCTAAAGGGACATAAAGTTTAGTTTAATTCCTAAATGTTTAGAAGCAGTTCCCCCCCTCCGGTCCTGATCCAAAGGGCTTACCTCTAACACTGTTCCTCTGCAGACCCACGAATCCGCTCTCTTTCCTGCTTCTGTTCCAACCTGCAGCGTGATCTTGAAGAGGCAGCGCGCTGCAGCAGGGATTTATAGGCTCAGGCTGCTCGCAGTGATCCACCTTCAGCTGCTGACGTTGGTAGGAATGTTAAACAGGCTGTTCATTCACAGAGGAGCGGAGAGGAGAGGAGGGAAAAGAAGGAGAGATCCGCAGCGCTGAATGGGTGTGTGTGCGTCAGAGCCGGAGCTGGCGCAGGTAACCAATCAGCGCAGATCCGCTGCTATTGGCTCAGATGCAGCTCCGTGCATCGCTGCAGACTGCGCTCACCACCGGCAGAAAAATGTCTTTAATCTTTTTTTTTTAACCTTCTTTTGATTTATTGAATAAATAAAGAATAAAAAAAGATAAACCCGAATTAAATCTCTGATTTCTGTCCAAATGAATTAGAATTTTTCCGCAAATTGCCTCCAAAAACAATATTTTCATCCACCCTCCAATTTTCCGTAACGCTTATCCCAGGCGGAGTGGGGAGGGGTGCTGGTGACCATCTCCAGCTGTCAGTGGGTGAGGGGGGGGGGGGGGGGGGGGGGGTCACCTTGCACAGGCCTCCAGTCCATCGCAACAAACATAGAGAAAAACAACCATTCCAACTCACACCTAAGGAGAATTTAGAGAAGCCAATTAACCTAACAGTTTTGTTTTTGGTTGGAGGAAGCCGGAGTACCCGGAGAGAACCCACGCATGTTCAGGGAGAACATGCAGAAAGACTCTGGGCCTGGAATCGAACCCGGAACATTCTGGCTGCAAGGCAGCATAGCTCCACTGAGCGGCACCAATTATAATATCATTATAAATAATATTAAATGATAATATTATTAGATATTATTGATTTTTTTTGTTGTTGTTATTTATTTATTTGGTTAATTGATAATTAATGAATTCCTTAACTGATGTGAGAAATGTTTCCTCTCAGGTTTGCGTTTCCAGGCTTCAATCCTGCAGAAATAGAAATAAAACCAGTTTGGCTGCAGGAGTAAAGCTCCGACTGAAGCAAACATCTTTTTACTGCGTTATTCTGGAGGAAATAGATTTAATTAATATTTTCTGCATCTGATCTAAATACTATCAGAATCAGAAGGAACTTAAATGACATGTTAAAGATATAAAATAACAAATAACGCGTTAAATTGATTCTTAAAGAGGACCGAAAAAAACACAATAATAATATTAATGGGTTTATGCTTTAGAATCCATCATGGCAGGATAAAGGGGGCCTGAGGGGCCCCGGTGATGCTGCTTCCTTAATGGAAGAGCAGAAGGTGATTAAAGTCAGAATTCAGACAGAATTCTGACTTTAATCTCATATTCTACTGATATAAAAATTAAAAATATATTTTTTTTCCAGAGGCACTAATCCTCTTCCGTGTTTATTATATTAATAACTGTATTTTTTTCTCCCTCCTCCCTGCATGAACTCAGAGAAAACCTTTTTTTTTTTTTCATTTTGCAGCCTGATGCGTGACAGACTGACTGTCTGCAGGAAAATCCCCCAAAACTCAAACATCTCAGGTTTCCTTCAGATCAGCTTTAAGGTGGAACTAAATACCTCAGAAGATGGAGCCATTTTTTCCCGCAGTTATTTTAATATGTGTAATTATTATTATTATATTAATTATTGAAAAAGAAAAACATTATTTTGTTAGATCAGGATCCATCTGTTTCCATCTTTTAATATTTTGTGTGTTTCCTGCAGAACATGTCAAACTAAAGTCCTTATCTTGTGTCTTTTTTATTTTTTTTCATCTTTCGACCTAACGGGGATATTATTTTCATTTATTTATTCCAACTGATTTCGTTAATAAAACGATAAATAATAAAATATTCGTTTAATTCTGCTAATTATCCTTTTTTTTTTCTTGTGCGCATTCACCCTCCCTCCGGGAGGAGTGGGCATATATTTGCGTGGGCGGATCGTGGGACCTTCCACGGACCCACAGTGGCAGACTAGGATGTCTGCGGCCTTTAAGCGTCGGGCCGCCGCCCCTCCTGCAGAAAGCAGCATTATTAATTAATCAGTAGGCTTGTTCTTACAAGTTTTACAAGTTTGGGTATTTTATGTTTTATTTTACATCATTTTCTATTTGTTTAATATTTTCAATTGTTAATCAAAATACACATTTTTATATACTTAAAAGCGAAGGAAATTCACTATTTAAATAATTATTTTTCACTGCTTTATTTCCTTTTTCTTTCCAAGAAAATCATACTATGTGTTAAAATAAGTGCATTTATTTCATTAATATTATTTCTGAATAATATTAATGATGAACTTTTATATTTCTACCCTTAATATGCTTTTTTTTCTTCACGGTGACAGTTTTTTAGGGGGTTATGCTTTGATTTTTTGTTAATGAAATGTTTTTATTTTAATCTTGGATAAAACCTGCAGGCCTTCACAGCTGCAGTTCAGCAGCCTCTGAAAAATAAGGTTAAATATGAAAATAAAATCCATGTGGTTTTATTTTCAGTTAAGAAAATATTTATGGGCGTCATTTGAGAGAAAAGTCATAATTCCAAAAAGCAAATTCCACTTAAATGAAAATAAAAATGATGCCTAAGCCTCATCTTCCAATCTTTTAACACAATCTTCCTCCTCTTCCTCCTCTAACTCACCCATTCCACTCCTCCTCCTCCTCCTCCTCCTCCTCCTCCTCCTCCTCCTCCTCCTCCTCCCTGGTCAGAGCCAGTTCAGCCTTCATAGGTCGCTGGGATCATTAACAGCAGGGATCATCTCAGGCTTGATGGAAGCAGGTGATTTGGGCCTCGATGCTCTTCATGGATCAGTTGTTCTCCACAAACCAAACATAAGAACTAAATAAGGATGGAAAGAGAAACATGGGAGTTCATCTGGTGTTTATGGGAACTCTAAAGTCCAGGTTTTTAACATTTCCTTTAGTTTTTCACAAGAAAATCTCTTCCTTTTAAGAGGAACCTGTCTGAGAAGATGTGTTACCTTTCATCCATCTGAAGTTTTAACCAACTTATAAAAAGATTTTGCTGTTTTATTTTGAAAGGACAGTGATCACTATAAACGCCTGGAAGGTAAAACAGAAAATAAATTAAATACAGGAAAGTTTATGAGAATCAGCTGTTGTTTAGGAACAAAATGTTTTTAAAAAAGGTTAGTTTTTTACAATCAGACCATTTCTGTAATAAACTCAGTGTTCCAGTTTTCTTTTTTAGCGTCTGCTTTGCAGAAATTAGTTTTCTGGTGGATTTTCATACAGATGTCATCACAGCTAATTTCAGAATAAAAGAAGTTCCCAGTTCTTCACTTGATGTTAAAGAATGCAGATGAGAGCTACACGTCAATAGAGCTGCAGGGATATAATCTAATGATAATTAGTGATAACAGCTGTTAATATAGTCAGAAAACGTAATTAGATTCCATCTTGTTCCTGGACCAAGATACAGAAAGCCGATGCTAAGATGTTTGCTTTAAAGGAAAAGTCGCTCATATTCAGAATTCAAACTTCTAAAAGTTCTTTAAATCTGAAATGATTCCATCCTGTTCAATAAATGATCAGTGTTTTTAATTCAGAGTAATTTTCATGTGAATGTGCTTTACTGGAGGCATCCATGTTTGTCAAAGAACACTACTGCCACCTACTGGTTAGTGACATTGTCACGGTGCGGTATCGGCTGTTGATCAAGTCCCAGTGCTGTATCTGGTGTTTGTCACAACGCGCTATTATCCAAGTCATCTTGAAAACATTCTTCTTCCAAATGTTGGCTACATATTACGGGTTTTTTCTCTGGCCAGAAGTTCGATGGCAAATCCTCCCTCTTCAAGTTGGCGATCCAACGACCAACCCGTCCGTGGAGGATCAGGAATCAGAAAGGTGGAATAACTCTTTTTTTCACTTTTACCCGATGTATTCCAGCATCCAGCTGCCATGCACGTGGGCATTGTCAGTTTCACTATAGCTCTGGTGAATTTCAATGGTGAAGTCCTCTGGAAATCTTCAATAATTGTTGGGGGGGGGGTTGCTAACTTCTTCCTAAATCATTGGAATCTTATTCAGTGCAACTTTTAATTCAGTGTATTTCTATAGCTCCAATTCACATCATGTCATCTCAGGTCACTTTCCAGTTCACCAGATCATCCAGTCAGATTGATTCAAAGTTTTCTATCTAAGGAAAACCAGCTGATTGCATCAACTCATTGACTCTTCAGCAATCCCTCACACTAAGCATGCTTGTAGCGACAGTGGAGAGGAAAAACTCCCTTTGAACAGGAAGAAACCTCCAGCAGAACCAGGCTCAGTGTGAGCGGCCATCTGCTGAGGCCCACTGGGGTTCAAGGAGACAGAAGCAGACATAGAAAAAGAAGCATAGATACAAAAGGCAACTGTCAAGCAGCTCCACAGGCGGCCCCGTCCAGGAAACACACAGCCAGGCAGACGAACTCCGAGCCAGCTCCCATGTCAAAGGATGAAGAGAGCACATCCAGTTAGTCACAGTCAGAGAAACAGGACTACACTGGAAAACAGGCCAAGCTCCAACATCTAGAAACAAAGGTGTTGATGGCAGCAGCACAGCTGATATTTCTCTCCAGGATGGAGTCACAGCCAAACAGGAACAGACCAGATGAAGCTACTATGAGAAAAAGCAGAGAGAGCAGAACTTTAGAGATTGAACTAACAGATTCTGCAGAGTGGGAGAATAGAGATAGAATGAAGCAGAATGATGAAAAAGGGGTCCCTATGTCCTCCAGCAGTCTAAGCCTATAGCAGCAGAACTATAGCTCAGGATAACCTGAGAAGAGGCAGAGAGCAGAATGTTGCGCTTTCTTAGTGTTTCTTCCTGTTCTGTGAGAATATAAATAACCGATATATTTGACATTTGATTCCTTAACAGACAGATGTTTGAGACACTAGGATCCAAAGCGGACCATTTAGGGATGAACTAGGAGAAGGACTCTGGAGACACAAACACACCTGCTCCAATGCATTTCCTGTCCTGTTTGTTCCATCACAATACGGTGGAAGTGGGGAGTTCTGCTCGGACACTTAAACTAATCCCAGTCCCGAGCTTTTAAAGGTTTATGTAACTGAGACGTCCTGCGGAGCCTCAGGCAGATCGGAGCTCCGGTTACAA